ACAAAGAGATCCTGTGAAAGCATTTCAATGGTATAACAAATCAGCGGAGGGGGGAGATTCCAGGGGAAAATATAGTCTTGGTTTCGCTTATTATAATGGTATTGGAACAGAAAAAGATGATAATAAAGCATTTGAATGGTACTTGAAATCCGCCAAATGTGGATGTGCTAAGGGGCAATTCTATCTTGGTTTGTGTTATCAAAGTGGAATTGGAACACAAAGAGATGAAAGAAATGCATTCGAGTGGTATCTGAAATCATCAGAAGGTGGAGATGCAGCTGGACAATGTAGTCTAGGTTTTTGTTATCGAGATGGAATCGGAACACAAAAAGATGAGAGAAAAGCATTCGAGTGGTATCTGAAATCAGCAGAAGGTGGATACGCAGATGGACAATGTAATCTAGGTTTTTGTTACGAAAATGGAATCGGAACACAAAAAGATGAGAGAAAAGCATTTGAGTGGTATCTGAAATCAGCAGAAGGTGGAGACGCAGATGGACAATGTAATCTAGGTTTTTGTTATCAATATGGAATCGGAACACATAAAGATGAGAGAAAAGCATTCGAGTGGTATCTGAAATCAGCAGAAGGTAGAAACGCAAGAGGACAATGTAATCTAGGTTTTTGTTATCAATATGGAATCGGAACACATAAAAATGAGAGAAAAACATTCGAGTGGTATCTGAAATCAGCAGAAGGTGGATACGCAAGAGGACAATATAATCTAGGTTTATGTTACGAAAATGGAATCGGAACACAAAAAGATGAGAGAAAAGCAATCGAGTGGTATCTGAAATCAGCAGAAGGTGGATACGCAAGAGGACAATATAATCTAGGTTTTTGTTATCAAAATGGAATCGGAACACAAAAAGATGAGAGAAAAGCATTTGAGTGGTATCTGAAATCAGCAGAAGGTGGAAACGCAGATGGAAAATATAAACTAAGTTTTTGTTATCAAAATGGAATCGGAACACATAAAGATGAGAGAAAAGCATTCGAGTGGTATCTGAAATTAGCAGAAGGTGAATACGCAAGAGGACAAGTGATCTAAGTTTTTGTTACGAAAATGGAATCGGAACACAAAAAAGATGAGAGAAAAACATTTTAATATCAACAGAGGATAGAAATTCTTTAGGTCAAGCCAATTTTGATTGATATTATTCGAAACATATAAAGATGAGAAAAGCTTCTAAAAATCAGCATAGGTTTTCAAAACAATCTTGGTTTGTGTTATCAGACGGAATCGATGCATAAAATGTATTTGCGTGATATTTGTCACCGGTTGGTCCGATTTTGTATTTTCCGAAATCTGTGATAACGGAAATGTTAATGAACAATGAAATCTTGGTATATGTTATGAAGAAGGAACTGATGTTTCTAATGATATTAATATGTTTCTAATGGTATTTATAAAAGATTTTTTGTTCTTTAAGTTAGAATCCATTTTTCATAATATCGTATTGAAATCATTTTGTATTTTATTTATTAGAATATTAAATTGAGACTATTGAAATTTTAACATTGTTTGAATATTACTGCAATCCATCTCGCGATTAGCTCGTTTTTCTTAATTCTCCTTTTTATTTTACTATTTACCTTGTTTTTTTGACTGACAGAAGTTCAGAGTAAATACTCTTCTATATTATATATTTTACTTCATTACCCGAGTTGGTAGTTAGATAAGAAATTATGTTAATTTATGGTCGATTCTAAATCTCGTTTTTAATTTTGTAAATCGAGAAAAATCGATTTATCTTCAATAACACATAATTATACACCGAACAAAACATGCGGTTAGGATATATGTACAATTTATCTAATTATAATTAGGAATATCATGTCGAGGATGGGTTGTCAAGTATATCACTTCTGGAGAATGTTGTGTCAGACATTAGTATAAACTTGAGAAATACAGTGAAACAGCAAAGCCAAACTACCAATCTCAACCCAAAATTACTTTAAAATTCCGTTATTCAAAAGGAGAAGTTCCAAATATTGTCTTTTATTTTCAATAGCATTTTCATAAACATATCCATATTTATGGAAGGAGACCACTAGAAAGAATTCCAATGTCGAAAATTATTCTGATCTTTTGGAAAAGCAATATAGCTTATAATGTCAAAGGCAAGACCATAAATGAGTTCATCGTTAGAAAGTTTGAATACCCTAAAGCTGAAAGCCGAAAATTTAACCTTTCCTTCTATAAGTTTGAATTGATGTATGGCGCAGGAACTCTTAAATCGACAATATGTTTCATGTTAAAATTTCTATCAACTTCTTAATTAAGAAGTAAATCCAAAATTTGACCGGTAATATTAGGGGAGTGACAGATATTAGCTAATATTCTGGGGGATGGGTGGGGGAGGCCAAATCTCAGGTATTAATATAATCACACGTGCATACGTTAAATAAAATCTCAGGAGGAGTCTCTAAACAAAATAGATATTAGCCAAGCAAATCCTTTTCTATAATATTACCGGTTAAATTTTGTACTTATCTCTTAGTTAAGAAGTTGACAGAATTTTTAACGTATTGTCAATTTAAGAGTTCCTGCGCCATATTTACCAATACCGATAAATGATTCCTTCTGCAAGTTGCCTAGCGAGACGTAGCTTATCATTGCCACGCAATTTCCCAAAATATGATTCGAAATACTCTTTAAGCGTTCCGTCATCAACATATTTCAAAAAAGCATATATTTTTCCGAACGGGAGCCGTATATACATTTATTTATAAACTTAATTTTTATGTACTTGCGTTAGAAAAAAGACAGAGTTACTTTTTCCTTTAGTATTCCAAGCAGCACAGTTATTTATAGATATAAATCAAGTGAATGTTTCGATTTCCACTATCAACTTTATGAATGGTTTAGCGAAAATAAAAAAATACATGAAAATCAGAAAAACATATCAAATGGAAAAATTTACCAATGTTGAATATTACAAGTGGGATCACGAAGATAATGCATTTAAAAGAGATGATGGATAACTGCTGTGCTGAAATCATTCCACAATTCATAGCGAATTATAATCGAGCAATTTCTAAAGTGCAAGCAAATTTTCTAATACCGTACAATTAATCTTTTTCAAATAGATTCGGACTGCTCTAAATTTCAGTGCTTACTTGGAATAAATTATTATGGAATCACGAAAACTCAGCTACAAATGAATATTTGTGATAGATTATGCAGGAGCTGGCTATTATGATGAAGACAAATGTGATATTACTTCCAACTACGAAGAATCGACTTGAATAATTTACTTAATTTCTATTCCCAGGAGCTGTATAGAATTAACAAAGAAAAACTTGTGCGTTGTGACTTTCACCCTGCAAATATATTATTGGAATATTGATTACCGATTTTGGACTTACCGATCCAGCAGATATTGAAGAATCCAATTAAATTTAAGAGTACTTCCTTCTAATGGTTCGGAGGTATTACTGGAAAACCACATACTGAAGCTGTGGATATTTATAGTTTGGGGATTGTTATGTACGAGAGTATAACAGGCAAACGAACCATTTAATGAACAAAATCATGATATGCACCTTGTACGCGACATCTATAATGGAATACGACCTACGACACCAAACACTTTTCTGAATGGTGCAAATTTATTACTGGAAAATGTTTGGATCCATACATTATGGAACCATCATCATTGTCATTTTTATTTTTGTCGTCATTTTCTTTATTCTCGTCTTTAAGAATTAATTTTGATTATGTATGAATATGGAGCAAAATATGACAGACCAAAGATGACTCTAGTATTACTTCGATCACTCTGAATATTTCGATGATTACCCCCCCCCCCCCCAAGGAAATAACGCTTTTGAGAATAATAATACGGTATATCCTTCTGGAATTACTCCACTATATGTTAATGATACAATAACTCCTATTTCAATGGAAATGAAAGAAATAACAGTTGCGTTCATTTCAATTATGGAAATTCAGCAACAGGAGCTGCCACAACCAAACACATTCAAATATCATCATTAAGTCGTCGCAAACGAATCGATGTTATCCTTTAGAATCTTGATGCAATGATAGATGGAGCTGCTTAGCCACGTGCAAAAAATATATTCTCTTTGGATATATGTTAACTCTCAGTTCAATCCAAACGAACTAACTTTGCAAGAGGCAGCAATCTGTCATTTAATTCCTGCAATACTTTTTTGCTTCAAGCATTTTCTAATCCATCGTTGCGAAGAAATGGGTCTAAATTTCGATATGGATGATCGTCTTTATAGCAATTCACAAGAAATTATAAAAAGAAAAACAATTGAGAATGTTGAGCGACGACGAGTTGAAGCAAGAATGGAAAGAATTGTTACGGATTTTGGACTCATAAGAGATATAATCTCAGCTAGTAAAATGTCTTGATTAGTAAGCGAGAAAGGAAACATTGGAGTGTAAAATTCAAAGAAACTTTGAAACTGTTAATTCTTGATACAAAAGATCAAGAATTCGGAGATAATATCAATACGAAAAAAGAATAAAAATAATTAATGGTACTGAGTGTGATGTTTTGGTAAAGAAAGCGACGTTGAACCCTCGATGTTGGAATTACCTAGCAATCAATGTAAATGAACTTTGTAAAAGATGTAATGTTTAATTGCATAGAAGGAGCAAATATATTTTTAAAAGCTCCAAAATAAAGTAGAAATTACAAGATATCAATGCAAGCTATAACTCCATATTCAAACGAGTCAAATGGTGTTAATTTCGCAAACTGTGTAGACAAGTCTTGTTGGAGGATTCATTTATTTAACATAAACTTCGAATTCGTAAACGCTCTAATCCTAATAAACTAAGAGATTGCTAGAGTAATAACGCATGTCCAATACATTTATCGATAGAATTATCAAAAATAAACTCCTCTTATTTAATTTATGACAATATAACCATTTTCGTATTTCAATTCTTCTCTCTATCTCCAGAACACTAATGTTAATATAAAAATAATCATTGTTGAAATGAGAGGATCCTTGTAACACTATACGTATTTTGTAATGGCGATAACGGCGATACTGAAGTTAATTTTTATGTGACGATGGCGCGGCGACACCGAAGTTGGTGGTGGTGATGATGACGAAGTTAATTTTGGTAGTGGTAATGATAACAAAGTTAATTTTGGTGGTGGTAAAACCAAAGATGACAACAACATCGAGATTGATGTTATTTGAATTTTTTGTGGTGATGACGTGATAATAACAGATATTAAGCAAAATCGCCAATGAAAATAAAAAGAAGAGCCTTTTACATTAAGCAAAAATAAGAGCCATGGCGAAAAAAGTGTCGATACGAACTGTTGCCAATCCGACCATGGCAGAACAATTATAATCTACTATGAATAGGAGATCACTTCAGACTATAAACTTCAGACTATAAACTGAGTGGTTTCCGTTTTGTATTCGCGATAAGTTATTCGCTCTTATAAGGAAATTTCTACGCTTTGGATGATATTATGTGTTAACCATCATTCCTTTGGTTGTTTCCTGACCAGTTGCAGTTGATGGCAACTTTGAATAAGAGTAACGTTCAGTCAACCCAAGAAGACTCAAATGTGAAGCGACGGTACGAAGACTTGCGCCCATGTAGCATATACAAATCCGACCAACCGATAGGACAATTGTTGTGGTGATTTTATATTGCTGTTACTTCGCGATACACTATTATACGAATTTTTTTGAAGCAAATCATACGCGTAAAATGTTACATGTACATGTAGTTGACGTTAAAAAAGATCAGCATATAATTGATTGATCCTTAACGTTAAACCGTTGGAATATAAATGCAAAATTCATTTATCATCTCCCGGTTGCTCGCCCATCTAACCGTTAGTTAACAGACTTACGCGCTCTATAAAAATAAATTGCTAGCAAACGCTACAACTACAAATATATACATGGTAAGCAGTTAACAGGTAACGGCAGTGAATGTTATTCTCTGTTAAGCAAAAAAGTCCGAACACGACTTACCCACCACACTGTTAACTGCAGCGATGGTAGTTAGTCTATCGAGAGTGAAGTATATGAATGATAAGGTACGAGTATGAAATATGCGTAAAGTTTTAAGTTGAGGAAAAACGCAATTATTTATATTGTTTTTATCTCATTATTACCCACGACGCTCTTATAATATTAATTTTACCCGCACTCATTAATACTAATAATTTTTTACTCTTAATAATGACATAACGATAATGATAAAGATTTTATCTGATCTTTCTGTTGTTACGAGAATAAATAATTTACTCATAAAAAAAATAATGACATATTGATATCGATATACTGTTATGTCTTCTTGAAAGTTTGTTTAACTAGTCAAAAGATGATAACACACTAGTTGTGAGCTAGACTGAATGGTTTACTTAAAGAGGGGATTTTCTAAATTTCTAAAGGTCTCCTGTGGTGATTTTTACAAAAATCAACACTGATAAAAGGTGGGGGTCTTTAAACAAAGGTATTTTCAGATAAATACTAACTAAACTATAAAATGATTTATTGATACGACCTACAAAACTTAAATCAAATATTCACAAATATTAAAATTGCTTAAAACAAAAGGGTTGGACTTATTGATGCGGCCAACAAAATAATCAAATTACAAAATCAAGGTATGACCTATTTATAGTAGAGGTCTTCTACTACTTGTACGCAAGCTTTGAAGTTGATCAAGTGAAAAGATTTGTTAACAAGTAAGTATATTTTACAAGTTGGCACTTTTGCTGAATCAAAGCATGAGCTTTAACTTGCACATGAAAATTAGACTACACGTGGCGCATCAATGATTTATTTTACGAAGAAAAAATGCCTCTGACTAATACAAAACAAATTTTTCAGTATGTGGAAGCCGAGCTTGACTCATATGCCAAAAGTATCGTATGGTGAGATAGAATTATAATTCATCCTGAGCTTCTCGATCTAAATTTAAAAAGTAGATATAACGATAAATCGAAATGTAGGTTTGGTTGCCTGTAGCAGATTCAGATAAATTAGTATCCAATATTGGTCGTATCAAGAATAAAACAGGTGTGATTTTAAAGGGTAATATTCAAAATAGAGTGGTTATGTACCAATAAATTTAAATATGGATAGAGTATATAAGAAAATCTTATACCCATATTTTAGTAGCACGAGCATTTAGAAAATAAACCTTACATTAACCACAAGAACGGCATCAGGCACGATAATCGAGCTTAATTTGGAGTGGGTAACTCCTAAAGAAAATGCTGAACGTAAAGTATTCCCAAATCCTGGTCATAACAAATCTAGAAAAAAACATTGGATGGAAATATTGTTTAGATTTTTGACTCGCAGGTGATACGCTTGAAATTAATAGGAGTAATTTTCAGAATATTGTAATAGAAAACGAGATACTGCCGGTGGATGTTGTTGGACATTTTATGAAGCTTACATAGAACCTGATCCTAATGAAGAGTGGAGAGAAATAGAGCTTAATACAAATTATCATCTTTAGGAAGAATTCAGTTACAAATGGTGCAATCACCCAAGGATCACTGAACTCGGGATATCTCATAGTTACTGGAAGAGGATATTATGTTCATCGTTTAGTAGTATTAGCTTTTTACCCAAAAGAAGAAGGTAAAGAATGGCAATCCCACTAACAATAAAGCTCTAACCTTTAATTGTGCTCTCAGAAAGAAATCATTAACATGTCGTGCGTCTTGGATTTGCAACAAAAAGCATATTCAACGTGCTGTTAGGCAAATTTCGCTGATAGATCTTCCTGAGAATTTACATTTTTAGCTGAAGCATAACGCATTACTGTGATTCAGAGTATGTTGAGGACTTCGAATATATGCAGGAGAATGTCATTGGGAATATGTGAATGTAATAAAATAATAAGTATTGTACTATTAATTCAAGTTTAAAACAGGTCAGCACTTTTGATTTTTTTAGAAGTAATTACAAGGTGATTAATAAAATTTTTACCATTACACGTCTTAATTTTTGTAATATATTCAGGTCAGGATAGGAAATAAGTTATACAAACACATTACTTGATATAGATTGTTCATTAACGTTAACTTGATTGATTATGTGGGGCAACAATACCTACTGATTTACACGTGCAAAAAAAGTAATGTGGTACATCTGGTTCCATTTTTTGACAAAATTTTCCAATTTGGTGATTTACTGCTTGAATTGAATTCAAAAGCAAATCAGATTATCAAGCTGTACAGATTCTAATTTTCACACCAATTTGTTCAAGGATAGTTGAAGTCCAATTTTAATATCATTTTAGTGTGATCATCCAAGAAATTGAGCTCTTTCTTAATTTTTTGTAATATGTTTTGATTGGTATATTGTTCTAATATAATATTACTGAAATTCATTCTGGTTTTTCAGTAGCTTTAGTTTGATAAGTTATTATTTATTATATCTATATAAAGTTAATTCTTTCTAAATAAACTCTTTCTAAATGCACACACTATATTTTTATTCTATAAATATATAGCTTGGTCAGTTTCAAGTTAATAATATTACTTTTTATAAATACACACTCTCTAAATGCACTTTTAGATTTTATTTTTATATATCTTTCAGTAATATATATTTAAAAAGAGCTAACTCTATATATATTCAAGTATAAAAAATATATTATTATAAGTTTGTTTACTAATTGATAAATTAACTTTCAAACTTGAACAAGAATTGGAAGAGTAAATTTTTTTTATAGAATTTATTATTTTGTTAAAGCAAGTTAAAGATTTCTTATTTATATAAAAATAATATTTTAATTAATTATAACTTGCAATAATCAATCAGAGAATTGTAATTTAATTGTAATTAATTATAATTAATTATAATAATCAATCAAGAAATTATAACTAATTATAATTAAAATTATTTGTATAATAAAATTTTTATTAGTAAATTTTTTTATTTTAGATCAAAATAAAATTAAAAACTTGTATTTTAATATAGATTTTTTATAAATATTTTTTAATTTAATTTTAGGAATATTTCTAATTATAAAGATAATTATATAAACTTTTTATAATTAATTTAATTTTTAATTATAAAAGTTTATATATTTATCTTTATAATTCAAAATATTTCTGAAATTAAATTTAAAAAATCTATAAAAAAGATATATTAAAATACAAATTTTAGTTTTATTTTGATATAAAAACAAAAAATATTTACTAATAAAAATAAAAAATTTCATTATAGAAAGATAATTTTGATTTTACTATATTTTTTTGAATTTCTAGTAATTTATTATATAAGTTTATATTTAGTTTACAAAAAAAATATTTTAATATTGTAATTTATAATATTTATTTTTATTAAACATAATAATAAAAGATGTTTAATAATTATAATATATAAATAACTTGTATTAATAATCTTTACTATTATTTTTTTCATAAAATAAATAGATAATCTTTAAAATTATATTACTAAATATTTATTATTTAATTATATTATTATTTTTTATATATAATTAACTAGTTATATAGTAATAATTAAAAATAATGCAATAATATTAAAATTTATTAATTATATATAATAAAATATAGATTTTTTTTATAAAGTTTTTAATTTTAATAATAAATATTTTTATTTTTACATTAAAATAAAGATAATATCATATATTTTAACATAAATTATCATTATTTTACTTGAATTTCAAATATAATATATCTTTTTACATACTCAATATATGTTTCAAGTCAAATAAGATAAATAACTAAAGATAGTAATGTATATTCATTAAATTAATAGTTAGCTAAAAAGTAACTTAAAAATTTTCTTATAATTTAATATATATTTAATAAAATAATTATAATGATAGTATATTGACAAGTAAAATATTATAAATTCAATTTATTAAATTATTTTAATGATATAACATTACAAATATATAAGAGATCAAACTATAAATATGATATTATAAATATGTAAAAGATCATTAATCTAATATTACAAATATATAAAAAGTTATAAATATAATATCACAAATATGTTAAAAATTATAACAAAATTTTAAAAACTTAAATAATAAAATAATAAAAGAAATATTTAAATATTCTAAATGTATTAATTTTAAAAGGGCATTATTATTAAAGGTGTTTATTTTTGAGTTATTAATATTTAAAACTTGATTGATTGACTTTTTCTAAGCTAAAATACATACTTCTTTTATATAAAATTATTAAATCAAAACTATCAATGATATTCATAAGAAAATTGCTTATTCACTCACTTGGTTACTTGCTTATTTGCTTGTATTATAATTTAATATAAATATAAATATAAATTATTTAATATAATCTAAATAAATGATATATATCATTTATAAATAATAATATAAATGTGATACAAATAATAATATAAATAATGATATAAATAATAATATAAATAATATGAAATGTAAATATAAAGATCTTAACTAATTAAAATATAAATATTTATTCTCAAAATTATTCAATAAGATTAAATAATAATTATAACTAATAATTAATATGAAATTCCATTATACAACAATATTTTTTTATAATTAAAACATAAAAAATAATTAAATTTATATATAATTAGAATAGCTTTATTAGATTAAATCTAATAAATCTGAAAAAATTATATATTAAAATATGTGATAGTATCTTTATTTTAATATAAAAATAAAATATATTTATTAATAAAATTAAAAACATTTATATAAAAAGAAAAAGTTGTATTTACTATATTTAATTAATAAATTTTAATATTATTATATTATTTCTGATTGTAATAATATTTATTAATATTAAAATATTTTGAAATATCTAAAAAATACTATTTTATTAATATAAAAATTAATAAATAAAATTATTTTTCTATTTGAATTTTGATAAGTTAATTTAGTTTTAGCAAACTTTTAATATTAATTTATTTTTTATTTATTAAATAAAGTAAATATTATTTAAAATTGGTTTCTTTTTTTAATAACTTATTAATTTTAAAGTATTTTTATAAATATTAATATTATATAATCAAATTTAATTACAAATATTTAGAAATTAATAAAAATTAATATAGTAAAAATTCTGATTAAAAATAAAAAATAAAAAAATAATATTTAGTAATTTATAATTTTAATTCAAACAAAAAATATATTATTTTATTTATTAAACCTAAATAAATTAAATAGAATATTTTTGATTAAACTAAACTTGTAAAATTAAATATTTAGTCAAAAATTTTATAACTAAATTATCTGATTATTTTTTTATATAAGAAATTATATAATTTAGAAAAATTTAATATTTTTAGCAAGATTATTATACTTAAATAAATAATAAATTTGAAAGTAAAAAAAATTAAAAATAGTAATTTTATTATTAATATATATAAATCAATAAACAATAATTTATATTTGTAATATACTTTATTTTTGTATAATTTAAAAAATTAAATATATTAAAATATTTAGTTCTATTTGTAATTAATAATAATTTATTTCAGTATATAAAATATTTTTTTAATATTACTATTTATAAATAAAATATTTTTTTACTTTTTGAATCTTTAAAAAATCTACTTATTGATATTATTTTATTTAACTATACTTATTTTATTTTTGCAGAAATACAGATATATTTAGTGAAATATATAGAAAATAATTTTATATTATATAAAATAGTTATTTCAATATCTTCAAAAATTAAAGAATATTGAATAATTATAAATAGATCTTCAATTATTTCAGTAATTTTCAAGCTATCTATAATTATATAAAAAATACTTTTTATTTATATCTATTTCTTATAGAAAGAATCGCCAATATTTTGCATAACTTCAACAAGGAACAACATTCATCAATGAAGCTTTCACTTCATTCTTAACAACAGAATCAAAACTGGATCGTTTTTTGAACTACAAATTCATGAAGAGGTTGATTCTTTTTTATGGTGACAAGTACACATTCTAGTAAGTTTCTGATTGTGTCTAGTATGGCTCAAGACTAACTTATAATACAAGCAACATGCATTGCACATTATAATTGCCAGAAATGTAATTACAAAAGCTCAAAATTGGTTATTACCGGAAATAGCAAGAACATGTTTATATATGAAAAGTTTGTTGGATAATGAAATAATAATTACTAATAAAAAAATGTTTTAATAATATTAAATAACAATAATAAACATTGATAATAATATATTAATAATAATCCATCAATTAAACAATTTACTAATAGATTTAAGTTTGTAACTTTTACATATTTTTTTAAATAAACTCGAGTATTAAAGACAATAAGAAGCCAGCTCGAACCATTCTGCAGAACTGAATCCGCTACGAACTGGTTATTTGGAACTAGTTCAATGGAACCAAAAAGGTTCCATTTTTTTTTTTTAGCTCCACAGAACCAGAACCGAACTGAAAGAGCCCTAATAACTAATAAACTCAATCATTATGGTGAAATCTCATGGAGTTCAATGATTAGAATCGCTATGCTTAACATATCATGAGCATGGATCGCTTTTTGGTAGAATATATTCCTGTATACTTTTTGTAATCATTATAGTATACATATCGATATCTGGCAAACTTTTTAACTAATGTTATTTGTATTATAGGTATATCTTCGCAAAAAAAAATGATCATCTCGAATTGGTATATTTATGAAGTACCAAAACGATAATTAATACAATCAAGATATACACATCTGCGATCTGTTTATTTATAGTATAAAACTCGTGTTAGGATTACATGTACATGTATTTAGTTAACATATGGTAAATGAAGTAACGTTACCGTTACTCACAATATGCATTCTCATCTTATCTTCGAGGTTTTTCATTCTATTCTCAAACTGAATACTTAAGATATCGACTTTTTTATCTACGGCATTACTTCTTTCATTGACAGCTTCAAATCTTCTACTTAAATTATCAATTTCCTAGTTGAAAGTTAAAACAAGATGTCAGTGATTTCACGTAAAACTCAATAATGATCATTTGTTTTTCACATACATTTGTAAGTGGTTTAAATTCAAGCAAAAAACTTGAAATCTTGTAAAAGGCCACTAAAAAGAATACAATTTTTGCGTTATCTAAATTTAAGCATAAAATATTTATTAATATGTAGTCCGACTCGCAAAGAAACAACGTAAACACTTTCCTTACCTTTAATGGATTTAATGATTTTATAAAGTGTGGAAACTTGAGCAACTATGGTAGACATTTCGATTTTGAGAAAATTTAAAAAGAAAATGTGATTAATGAATCATCGTCAATCACGTTCACAATACGTATAAAGTACATGAACATGTATTAGCATGGGACAAATTTATCGAGCACACCGACAACAAAGAAAATGAAATTTGTGAAAAGTACAGGAAACACATGCCTAAATCTAGTTTGCAGCACTAATAAAAAATGTCGGGGAGGCAGTTTTACATATAATGTTCATCTCAAATCTACCTTAACTCTAATACTAATCATTAAAATCGACCTTTAACATTATGTCACAGATCGACAAAAGATCAACTGGGAGTCGGCACTGGTAGTTGCACAAATTATGTAATATGATTATATGTGGCGATCCCTAGTGCTTAACGTTAAGCTGATTCGGTCGAGCTAATTTCTTCGATGCGGCATTTTCGCGTTTTTTCTAATTAATCAAAAACTGCCTTTATTAATTATGATGGCGAAACAGCACGATGGATACGACAACCAACTAATAATACCACTCTTACGGAAACATTGCAACCAAATAATGAACTCGCTCTTCCCAAAACACCACTATCTTTTTCTATTTTTACAATCCATACCCAAATTTATCTCCTAACAATTAAGCATCAAGTTCATCAAACGTTCCTGTTTCTAACAATCAAGCATCAAATTCATCAAATATTCCTATACAAAAAGCCAATCTATTCATAAATAAAGAGTTGGGTACGATTATATTTTAAAGAGAACTGAATTACAACAAAAGTTATTTGTCAGCTAACTATTAAAAAGCCGCAAAATAACGAAGATAATGCAAATACATAATAATAAAATATATTCTAAATAAGGAAATTCACATGATTGTCACTTGAGTGGCTAGCCGAAACAAAAAATGCCAACTCAATCATGCTGGTATTTTGTTGCCGGCTTGAAACACTAGGACAAATGCAATTCATAACAGTCCCGACCTTAATCCGATTGAAAGATGATCCACTCAAAAATTGATAGCTCGAAGTGAGTTTGGTTTTATGAGAAACCAATATAATTTATATTGAATCAAATGAGCTTTAAAGTATCTTTTTGCCATATACGTAATGTGTTTATTTGTCACCGCTGTTTTTTTTGTATTGCTGAAATAGGCACAAATATAATATTACTTCAGAATTCAATTCTTTATATTTGCCTCTCACTCTTTAGATAGTGCGCGCGCAACATACAGATATTGTAACAACCAATATTTTTTATATCGATTCTTGTTCCCCCAGAGAAACTCCGTCGCACGCAGTATCATTTTTTTTATCTATTATAAATGTGTGAGCCCATTCATTAATTCTATTTATTGCAATATTTTTGATAAATTTTTTCGTAAATCAGACACAAACTGCCAAAAACCTATTTTTTAGACACAAAGCTCTGCTGCGTCGATATTGTTTTGGCAATTGTCAAATTAATACTATTTCGAAAATTTTACTCATTTCTGTACACTTTATATAAATGGTCATTTATTGAAGCCATATTTTTTTCAAATATTATTAATTATCGTCAACAACGTATCTTATTTGCGTATTTACTTAAGTTATCTTATACCCCATATAATCACAAAATCAATATAGTCACATTTTTCAGTTCCTAACTTATTATGAAACACAAAATATTTGACCTCCATATGTTACAACCTCTCTTTATGATCACAGTTTTTCATATCTCAAGAGTGTAATTTGATAAAACTTCGGATACATTTTGACAGGGTTCCGATTTCAAGCGACGACAAATTAATTCAAGCTATATGTGCAGACAAAAGTATTTCTGTCATGAGAAATTTTTTGTATTTAATTAGTTTTACATTTACAATTCTTCATTATTACAATATTTTATTATTTATAACTAATTATCTTATATTTCAGTGTTGGTCTTTTTATTAGGCAGAGTCAAAAATTAATAAACCTCAATTCGAATTTCATCTTTAATATATAAAAATATTCCTGTGTGATTTATTTTTCGCGCTTAAAAAATTCATTATCAAAGCGCTTGATTCATATTAATTTATAGCATGCACGCTATCCTTGTCATCTTTTATTGATGACTTAAACTTGAAGCAATTTGGAAAAGTTGACGAGCTATATATAGTATTAAAAGAAGAATTCAATTATTTGCTGATTTCCTGCTATCTTCTAATATGTAAAATAGTGAAAGTTTGGCTATTAAAGTAAAGTCTTCAATTAATGCGAAAAAAATTATCGTTATGTATAAACTATATACATTTAAGAAGGTTGGAATATTAGGTGAAATATCGAAAATAATAGTTGCAATCAACAAATTAAAAAAGGCGTTGTTATGTCACAAAATGATTATTTTCTATGATGTCACTATATGCAACTGTTGTTATATCCATAGTAGACTAGTCGTGGCAGAAAAATTCCTCGATCACGTGATAAACGATCGTTTCCGACCCAATCGATGTGGTCCGACAATCTTTGTTATGCTGAATCACGTGAAATATATATAATCCCTGACCGAAATATTCAATTTTCCAATAGCTAACTA